ATGACTGATTAAAAATTATATGATATCAAATAGAAATCATTGAATAATAATCAAATACAACCAAATGGAAATATAATTGGATAAAAATCAAATAAAAACTGGAGAAATACAAAAAAATTTATTAGTAAAGCATGGAGTTTCCTTTGGTTATTCTACTGACAATAATTTTACATTTCTTTTTCTGAGCAAGCATATTAAAATAATAAAATATATTCTATTACCAAAAGGACACAACCTTCATCAGTAAACAAAAATTATTTCCAGTGACAGATACTTTTTATGGATAAGAAGAATCAAACATTGGTTTTAACCAAAGGTTTCACAATTTGAGAAATCTTAGTCTTTGTACTATACATCTCCTAATCGGCGAGTGGAATTATTCTCTCAATCCAATTTTGAAAACATAACCTATAACAATGAAAAATTGTCGATGAGTGTAAAGCAGCAATTATTACGTGCTGTGTGATGTCGTCTCTATTTCGCAAGTTCTAGAACGCGGTCGGAGGCGACTCCGGGATTTTAAGACCTTTAGGCCAGGCCAAGCACGGTCGTACATATAGTCCTCACGCGATAAAGAGGCACCTTTGCATTTACATACCCCCTCTTACTGACTGCCCCACTACCGCAGCTTTCGGTCGCTATTGGCCGGCGGCAATCTTCGTCACCGTTTTCGGCCAACAGATCTCGTGCTGGCAAAGTGTTCGTGCAGACCCAGAGAGACTGGATTGTGCGATCCGGTCCACCCTACCCGCGGTTTCTTCCGACGGTTATTTAAAATGATTATATAAAAGTTTGTTATTACTAAACTTTGATTAAATTTTTATTTATTGTGAACACTATATATGAACACTGTCTCCAGCGACGATATCGACAATGTTTTCCATGCAGAATTGTATTATTCTCGGTTAGTCCACAAATGGATGGGTCTACGAAGACCCGTAATTCCGAAGGGGCTATTCGAATTCTAATGTTCTGATAACTATTCCAAATGATTAACTATTTCTGTTAGATCTAAGAAAGAGATCGGCACTGAAAGAAATAGGTTCAAAAGTATGTCAAAAAATTACGTGCTGTTTATAATTAGTATGTTGAAAATTGGATGCTTGTTAAAATCATGATGTTAACAAATTTGACGCTGTTTGAAATTAGTATATTAAATAGTTGGAATGGCTGCTATGAAATCGTCAAAAACAACCGCCTTATGGAGGTTAAATTGATGATTTCTTGTGACATTTGTTTAAGTTATAAAGACATCGCAAGGTACTTTGACGATAATGACTGTATTGTGTGGTACGATTGTATATAAAAATTTAAATAGCGTCAATCTCACTATCATATAGACACATCTTGTAGCTCTGTCAATTCCTGTATAAATAAACTATCTTTTAGTACCATCGACGTCAATTATAAACACGAACATGATTGAACGACAAAATCATTTTGTAAAATAATTTATTCTCACAGGTTTCAAAAGTTCAGATCCTCATGTCGGCGAAAATTTACTTATATAAGGATAATTATTTACCAATTAATTATTTACAAATGGATTCTATTCTCCGATTTTGATGTCTGAATATGTTGTTCAACTCGATATTCTGAACAACTTTTTCCTTTGCACAAAGTGTCGTTCTGCTTTAGTTTCTAAGATATTCGTGAAATCCTGTAAACCTAACCTATATTTGCAATGTTAGGCATTTTAAAACCTGTTCTCGAAGAGTAAATTTGTGATGGTTATAAATTTTATGTAAATTCTCATTTTCATATGTCGTTTTACAAAAATGATAACTTAAAACGTTAAGTACCGAAAACCGACCCCAAAAATTCCCACGAAATCTGAGTGATTAAATAATAACTTGATTATTAAAACCGTAACTAGAAAGTTAACATTTATGATAGTGAATGGTATTTTAAAATGCATTTTGAAACTAGGCAAAAATTAGCGTCGCACTAAACTCTAGAGTCTAGTGTCAATAAAATAATTACTCGTTTTTGCGAATATCACAGAAACTAAAGCAGAACGACAATTTGTGCAAAGGAGAAGGTTCTTCAAAATGTCGCACTGTACAATATGTTCAAATCTCGTCGAAATCTGAGAAGAGGACACTTTTTAAAAATAATTACAAGGTAATATAAATACGGAGCACTTATCCGGTAATTCTCAAGTCATGCGATTTAGTTGACTGGCGTGACCATGATAGCCAGGAGATTAAGCTAGATTTCAAATCGAAAGAGTGGAGAAGTCATGGGTCACGTGATGTGTCAGAACTCCCGTATAGCGGAGTGAGAGGCATAACGGATGTACATTATTTTGTTGATGTAATAAGTATAATATATACTTACTTATGTATACTTCAATAATGTTTTAATACTAGTAAGCTTATAACTAATAATACAATAATTCACAATATTCTCCTTTCTTAAAACACGTGGTCGTTCTTTCTTCTTAATGCTTTCGAGAATCTCTGTTAAGGCAAAAGTACCAATCATGGAACGCTTTTCAGGTGATATAAGATTTTCATCGATTTTATTATTACTTAAAAAGTTTTATTGTTGAATATTTATAATACTGTTCGATAGATTGATGTTTCTAAGTTACGTAATAAACTTTCAAATATTTATTTAACATGAATAAATAATAATAATACGACTAAGATAGTAAAATAAGAGCATATATGTATTAGGGAATACCGTTTCTGTATCACGTCCCTGTCTTTCATATTCAATGTCTCCATTCTGGAACTTCCTATTTGAATTACCCGTTCCAAAATTAGGGACTTTGAATATGAAACACGGACGTCAACTGTTCCAGAAATGGGGACAGTGAAGAAATTGAAGTACACAATAAGGAACAGTATGTTTTTGCTTAGAAACACCTGTGTTCGAATAAACATTATTTTTTATAGCAGTATTTTATATAACAGTATTTGTGTGAGTGAATTTATAAAGAGCAATGTTCAAAAACATAGATCGAATTTTTACATCCACTTTCATACGCTGTATCTATTTATTATCGCTACTGTTTCAAGAAGGGATCGCAATTGAACAGTGTTTCATAATAGGTACTTTAATCTTACTATGTCTGACGCACGCTCTTCTCCTTTGTTTCCACACGTATACAGTATATGTAGCTTAAACTGGACGACATGGCAATACGAATGTATTCACACACACACGCTTAACAATTATAATTCTGAACTATGAGTGCGACGCGACGCAGAGGCGGTACACTGTTAGGCTCCCCACTCCTCTGCACGGGAGTCGCGGCGTGTCACGTGACCTACCACCACTCCTTCGATTTGAAATCTTGCTTGATCATTTGGCCCTCATGGCGTGACAGCTACGAGCTTTCCGCTCATTGCAGGTGCGGTTAACCTTTAGACAGCCGGCATAATGCCGTATGAAGTTACTAATTCTCGTTTCACAAACAATTTAATAAAACCTTGCCTTAAACCTTCTTTTGAAAATTATCACACCAAAGTTATTTCCTATAAATCTCATATAAATAAATACGATGAAAAGACTCAAATAAGAAACAGAGAACATAGAAACGGATGAAAAAAACAGGAAGAATTACAATCACATAAAATACTTTCTCCGATCGTTTATCCATCTCGCCAACCCAGGTTAGCCGTAAAATAAAACTGTCTAAAAAGTACAATGTAATCTGAGGTACTTTTATTAATATGAGATACTAATTGCCAAGCTCTGTATCGGAAGATTTTTGCAATTCGAATTCGATCAATAACGTTATTAGGAATAATATAAAAAACCTCTAGAAATATTTTTTGAAATTAAAAAATTTTATATTTGTTTCCGTGACCGGCTGGTCTGTCTCCGATCGGAGCCAGGTAAAATCTCGAGTGCTCCGTGTGATACAATAAACTGATTTATGTACAAATATTCCAGGAAAAAATATTGCATTGTTAATGGAAAAATAGCTACATTTTAAAGGTTAATTATATTATACTTTAAATTTATATTTAAATTTATATTATATAAAGTATATGTATATTTAAATTTATGTTATATAAAATACATATTTAAATTTATATTGTACAAAGTATATATCCAAATTATATATACAAAGTATACAGGGTGTCTGAAAAGTGACTCGTAATCGGGAAATGAAGGGATCCTGAGGTTATTTGAAGTAACTTTTTCCTTAACGGAAATGCAATTAGTAGCTTTGTTTACGAGTTATTAACGAAAAACAGTGACCAATGAGAGGCGAGCTCGGCTGGCGCAAGGCGGCCAAGCCAATAAGCGGAACTGGGCTTCGGTCGCTCGTTGGTTCGGCCGCCCTGCGCCAGCCGAGCTCGCCTCTCATTGATCAGTGTTTTTCGTGAATAACTCGTAAACAAAGCCACTAATTGCATTTCCGCTAAGGAAAAAGTTACTTCAAATGAGCTGAGGAACCCATTATTTCCCGTTTGCGAGTGATCTTTGGAGACATCCTATATTTTGAATGATACGACGAATAAGCAGAGTTCATTGTAATTCCAGTGACGTCGACGTCGGTGCTCGCGATATGGCCGCTGTGCATCGTCGCTGCTTTTCTACTTTGCGCAGTCGTGATGACCTGGTGGCTTTGTCGGCGTCGTCGCGAGCACACCAAGCTCAATTCCGACAAGTCCCTAGCGTTCAGACCGCCGCATAGGAAGCCGAGGGCGGTCAAGAGTCCCGGCAGTACCAGCCATTACTTGAAGAAGAGCCCGAGTCCCACGGAGCCAACCAAGAGTCCTCCTGGCTCCGGAGGGCAGACGCCGAGCCCCACCGGCTCCCAGGCTTCGAATCCCTACTCGCAGCCTAGAACGCCCCAGGGTACGGGTAAGAATTGCTTCTCCTTCACCAGGTGTCCCAATGATGGTGCAACGTTTCATCCCTTTCATTTTTTCGCGATCTTGGCTCGTCCGTTGATGTTGGTATTTAGGCCGCTCGGCGCACACCCCGGGCTTGCAACTTTCCAACTCAACTCAACGGAAGTAAACCATCTTTTTTTTAGCTTTTCCATGTCCCTTTTTCCGAGAATCTACTGCAGCTATTAATCTAAAATGTTAAATGCATGCCGTGGCTCAAGAAAGTGGCACAATTAAGTCTCCTTCTTTCTTCTTTTTTAAGGCCTCAAGTTTCTTCAATTTTTCTTTCTGTTTTTTTTTATCTCATCACTATCTTCTTGTTATTTCAATTTCTCTTTCCTTGTTTTTTCTTTATTTTTTTTTTAAATTTTGTTTTTCTTTCTTCCAATTTTTTAAATATTTGCTTTTCTAGTTCGATTTTCTTTCACGTTTCTAAATCTTCTTTCAATTTTCGTTTTCTTTCTTCCTTTTGTATTTTCAACTTTTCCATTCTTCATTGCTGATGTCGGAAAAGTATATACAGTTTCTCTGCCTAGAATACACTGTCAAATTATTTATAAAACAAAATCATAAAAATCGAATCGTTTTAGTTGATGAGCAGTACAGGCTGTATTTCTGAGCAAGTCGAAGTACAAAAGTTTGCGTGGCTTAATAAAAGCATAATAAAAACAGTTAAAAAGTTTCAGACCAATTAATTTGATAGTTCTTTTCTAAATTAAAGAAAAAAACAATATAAGTTCAATATTCTTGAACCAGGAAAAGGTAACCACCCTCTTAATTTCTCAAACACTGAACGCTACTGTAATTAATTCCGTATGTCTTCATTTGTTTTGTTTCATAAATTCTTTGCATGAGAATATAAGGAAAAGTTGTAATCTTTCATCTATGTTTCTGATCTGATGTAATTGTTACACGATGGAGAGAACGAACAGACACAAGTCGTAATACTACTACTACTACATTATTTACGTCCGTTCCGTGTCAAATCTTGCTGTACAGAGATGCAGCCCCGCCTTGTTTGAAATGTTAATAAATTGGACAATGGAATCGAAAATGAAACCCGGCCGGTTCGGTAGACGATAATTTATCGAACAATTTATAGAGATGGATCAGGTCTGGTACGTTACAAACGATACGTGACAGTGTGATGTCTCTGTTTCGGATATCCGATCGATGCTGATTGCATTTGATATGTCATCAGTCACGTCAGTGTCCATAAAACACACACAAAATCAGAACAACTTGTTTAATAATGTAAGCACGTGGAAGATGAGGATTAAACTTTACTTTACGGGTCCAAAGATTTTTGACTCTTTTATGGATATTTCCGTAGATTTTGTCGAGAAAACTACAAAAATTCAAGTCCCTAGGTGCGCAAATCATTGGTTCAAAAGTTATACGCGTTGAAAGTTGACACGAACTAACTCTAACTCTTAAAGTAAATACTCAACTAATAAAATATGGAGCATTATAGTACGAAAACGACTACAATAATTTCTCCGGGATTCGCCAAACTTCAGTATTCTGGGATTTGCGCTGTGATATTCCCACGGCCCTGTAATTTATCGATTTTTTCGCTACGCCAATGCTAAGATTCGATGGAGTCAGTGAACGCGTGTACTGCGGCATGCACCGCTGTTCCTTAGAATTGAATTCCCCAATTATAACATTTTAAAACTGATTTTTTTTAACACAGTGCTGATAGTTTTCTGATTAAAATAAGACCAAACATGATATAGTTTGGACAAATATCTCTGATTAAAAAAAAATGAAGCACGATATAATTTCGATTACATTTATTTATTTAATATTTAATGTATGATTATAAGTAAAATACATTGCTATATATATCAATAATAACTGTACATTAAAAAGCTGCATTGATATTATGTATAATTAGATAAGTGCAAAATTATATTCTATATTAAATTATTTTGTTGTGTATCATCCTTCGAATCGTCTAACATCGTGGCCTACGGTGATGATTTTCCTCTATTTCCTAATAACAAATAATGTAAAAAAAATTAATTTGTAAATAATTCATATTCAAAGTGGCTGTAAATTTTTACCATTGTGTAAGTATGTACTTACTTATTTAATTTTCCTTGCCCAAGAAAAATATTTTTATTCCCTGCACCATGCATTGTATGCAAGCTGGTGCTTTTTCACTGTAAAATATCAGTCTCTCAAATATTACACGTAATTCATTGTTTCCAATTTCGTTATTGATAGATTCATAAATTTCTTGTGGTTCTTCTTGAAGTTCTGCTGTTTCTTCTTTTATGTCTATGTCTTCGTCTTCTCTTTCTGCTTCCTCACAATTTAATAAAAATTGTCTAGCATGTGCAGGGGTGCATTGTTCTCCTGTGATCTCACTTATCATGCCTTGCCAATCAGGTTCAACCTCTCTTTTCTTCGACTGAATGGAACTACTAGCAGGATTAATAATTTTATTCGATGCATTTATAATATCTCTTTGCGTAATTTCCAACCAGGATTCAGATAAAATATCAATGCAGTTTTTTATTGTGTAGTCGGCATAAAATTCATTTATTCCTCCCTTATACGTTAAAACACGTTGCAGCAGTTTCTGGCGAAAAACTTTTTTTGTTTTCTTTACGATTCCTTGATGCATGGGTTGAAGAATAGATGCTGTATTCGGTGGTAAATATATAATTGTAAAATCTTCATCTTCTTGTAGCGTAACTTTATGGGCTTCACAGTTATCTAACAATAAGATTACTTTCCCTGATATTTGTTTTTCCTCCTGACATTGTTTTACAGATGGTTTGAAATGGTTTTCAAACCAATCTAAAAATAATGTTTTGTCCATACATGCATTGGACTGTGATTTAAAAATTACAGGTAATGAAACTTCATGCTTCAAAGCTCTTGGGTTTTTAAATTTGTAAATTACAATAGGCATAATCTTATGTGTGCCTAACGCATTTGCACATAAGCCAATTGTAATTCTATCTCTTTTCGTCTTATGTCCCCCAAGATCTTTTTCTTCTTCTCTAGCCAGTGTTTTCGTTGGAAGAGCCTTCCATAAAAGTCCACTTTCGTCCATATTGTAAACATTTTCCAAACTTACATTTCCTTCCTCTATTATTTTTTTAAAATTAACTACAAAAGTATCTGCCCCATCCTGATCAGCATTACCTTTCTCCAAGTGTATGTTATGACGTTGTTTAAATTTTGTTAACCAGCCATTACTCACTTTAAATCGCGAACATGATGGCAAATTTTCTTTTAATTCCGTCGCCTTTTCTAATACAAGAGCATCAGTTATATGGACACCAAGTGTTTTTCTTTGTATGAACCATGACAATAATTGTTTGTCTACTTCATCATATAGTGGTCCTGCTATTCTTTGTCGCTTAAGTTCTTGTTTACTTTTACCTGCAAACGTATTAATTTTTGTAGCATTTTTACGAATTTCATGGATTGTTCTGATGCTAACATCATACTTATTTGCAATTTGTTTGTATGGCAATCCTGTTTCTCGAAGATCTTTCAAGACATCCAAGCGTTGCTGCATGTTCAATAACATACGTTTTTTTCTTGGTTCCATGATATTAATAGTAAAGATATGTATATGTATTTAGAGTATAAAACGATTAAAAAGAACGATTACTAATAACGATATTAATTGCTATAATTTATATATCACTAATTTTTGATGTCACTAATAATAACACTTGACACTCAAAATTAATAATACTGGTAATAAACTACAATAACACAAAATGATCACTTTTGGTGTGCGCAGTAAGACCAATCTCAACGATCATTGAATTCATAGTAATGTACACCGCTGCCTTTTAAGGTATGTAGTTTCGTTTGGCCCGAGTTTCGTTCTACTGTATCTCTCTCTCTCTTACGTGATGTCTGCCACTATAAAAGCCAGCCGCGAGACTTGATGAATCATGCCTTTATAATTCTCACGTCCGCATATTTCGATTCCGACTGAAAGCATTTAGGGGAGTAATTACTGTAGTTCCGTTCAACCCATGTTTCGTTCTTTCTCTCTCCCTCTTTTTCTTTCTATCTATCTTTCCCGAAGTGTCAGTAACTATAAAGTCGAGCCACGAGGCTCGGAGAATCAATGCCTTACAATTCTCACATCCACATGTTTCGATTCCGACTAAAAACATCTATGGGAAAAATTACTGACTCATCCATGCTTGTGCTGCCATCTAACGGCTTTTTTGGAGTTTGTTTGATATTTGTGCTGCCATCTAGCGACGTCATTCATAGAATTACGTCTCCGGACGGAGTACGTCGTGCTACATGTCAGAAACGCTTGAAATTCGTCAACTTTGAACGCGTATAATTTTTGAACCAATGGTCCCCAATCTACGAGAATATATATATAAAAGAGCCAAAAATCTCCGGACCCTTAATGAAAAGATTAGCCGAGTGTGAAATTATGTAAGCCTAATAAAATGGAATGAATCTAACTTTTTTTTAAATATAAAGATAACAAGATAAAAGATTTTATGATTTTTGTTATTGGCTTATGGTGTTACGACAAGTAGAATTATGCGACACTATTGAACTTTTCTTGCACTGAAATCTCCTACACTGGCATCCAGCAGAAAAGTGACCAAAATATGAAAAATAAAAGAAATTTGTACCAACTTGGATAAAACTATATTTTCTTGAAGTAGAGTATGATTTTTCAATCATTTTGAAAAATATAAAATATGGCGTCTTTATAAAGATGACATTTCTCTTCATGCTGCAGAAAATCAACTTTAAAAATTTGTAAGAAATGAAAGAATTAAAATATCCGAAAAATCACACCTTAATTTATAAATAATTTTATAAGAAATAACGCGTTAATTATTTTCTGTAGTCAACTGGGTGCCAGGAAGCATAGTTTCAAGAAAGATGGATGTAAAGTTTGAAATTAACTGCTATCTGAAATTAAAACAAATATTTTTAATTTACCTTTAATCTGCAATTTCGGCCACATAAGAGATATTACTGCTTCTGATAAACTATCAAATCATCATTTCCAGGATGCTTTTATTAATTGCATAATTTCTTTTAGCTTTCCTTGAGCTCAAATCTCCACATGTTTCATTTGTTGTATATCAACTTATTCAGAAAGATAATAATAAACATAATAAAAAAGTATATATGTACTTATACTTTTTTTAAGTTTAAAAAATCCTTTTGTCAAAGTATTCTATATATTCGAAATTTTAAAAAGTGCAACAAAATATTTTCAATTTTTATAAACTCACATGGTTGCATACCTTATTAATAAATTATAATAAACATTTTTCAAGTCTGATACGA